CTCCTCCTCCTCCTCCCTCCTCTTTCTCCTCCTCCTCCTCCTCCTCCTCCTCCTCCTCCTTCTCCTCCTCCTACTACTACTCCTCCTACTCCTCCTCCCTCGCGCCAATGGCCTCGAGGCTCCCCTGGGGTCGGCCGGGAACGCCGGAGAGCTCCAGACAGGCCTTCAGCCCGAGCGCGTCGAAGGCTTTCACCGCCAGCCTCTGGAGAACTCGCATGATAAACACCTTCAGGGGGTCCAGGATCATCATGCAGAGGACCGCGAAGATGAACGGGAGCAGCACCTCGGCGAAGGTGCTGAGAAGCTGGATGCCCAGGTAGGAGGCCGCGAGGCTGACCGCGAACTTGACGAGGTAGAGGCCCTTCACCTCCTGCGGCACGTGCCTGGCGTAGAAGCCCTGCTCTCCGGCTGAGGCCTCTCTCGGCCGCGGCGGGCAGGACCGCCGGAGCGGCAGCCGACGGCCACGCGCCAGCGGCTCCGACTCCGCGCCCACCCCCGCCTGCGCCAGCCCGTCACGCCACGCGCACCCCCGCAGAGGCGTCGCGGCGGCCCCGGCGGCCGCGGCGGCCGCGGCGGCGGCGGCCGCGCCCACGGGCCTCTCCCTCGGGGGGGGGGGGCAGACGAGGGCCGGCAGCAGCACCAGCATCGCAGGGAAGAGAAGGGGGTGTCCCTGTGGCGGCGCGGCGCGGCCCTCCAAACCAGGCAGGCAGCACACAAAAACTTCCAGAGACGTGTCCAGAGCAGGAGCCCCTTGGCGCACGAACATACCCCTGGACTCCGCAGACATGTCTGGACGAAACTAACCTCGTGGGTCCTACGAGCCGCTGCCTCTCGGCGTCTCGCCCGATGGCTCACGGGGGGCCTCGGCGCCATGGACCCCCTCGCGGCGGGCGTCTCTGCTGGTGGTGATATGGTGCCGAGCCTTCCCAGACATCCGACGTCGTGACTTTCTCAACACGGGGCCCCCGGAAGCCCCGACCCTCTCCCAGCTTGACGGCCCCTTGCCCCGCGAGGGCGCCCGGCAGCCGAAAAAGCGGCAATCAGAGTCGCCCGGCGTGCTCTTGTGCCCGCGACGCGAGCACGTCTGGGTTCGCTCCCCCGACCTGAGCACGCCCTGGCTCTCCACGTCGCCGGCGAGCCTCGAGCCCGCCCTCCGCCGCCTGGAGGTGCCGCCCTCGGCGCCCTCGGCGCCCAGGCCGCCCCGCAGCACCACGCCGCCCTCGGCGCCGCAGGCGCCCAGCGTGCCGCCGCCGCGCGGCACTCCGGCGCCCAGCGGGTCGCCCTGCACGAGCGCCTCGCCCGCGCCCGGCGAGCCGCCGCCAGGCAAGGGCGGCGGGCTGCCGTCGCCGCCGCCTGGGGCTGCCATGGCCCGCCGCCGCGAGCCTGGCGGGACCGCTCGGGCCAGGAGGGCTGCGGAGGAGGGAGGGAGGAGCGAGTTCAGCAGGGACCGGCCGTCCCGGCCCTCCCATAGGCATGCCACGAAGTGCTCCTAGAACAAAGGATGTTCAGAAAGCAAGAACACATCGAAGAGCAAAAGCACTGCTCTTAGAACATGGAACCGATGTACGAAAACAAGACGGCCTCCACCAGACTTGTGCTAAGAGCAGTTTCGTGCTGAGCTCACAGGGCTCTCAGAACAATCCTTTCGCTGGCCTTCCTGGGCAAGCCGGGGCGCCTCGCCACCGTTTGAGCGAGACTGCCTCCGGCCGAGAGAGCACCCACTCCTCCTCGCTCGCTTTAAGTCGGGCATGTCCCCCTACAGGGAGATTTTGGGCGAAAGTGTAAAAATACACCAAAAAGATACCCCCGAATGGGCAAAAATAGTCAAAAAATCGTCCCCCGATTTTTTTACTATCTTTAAATTTTCCTCCTGTAGAGGGACACGCCCGACTGAACGCTCGCTCCTCCCGCCCGTCCGCCGGCCACCCTGCAGCTCGGGCCTCTGGATGGCCAGCGTGAAGCCCCGCGGGGCCACGACAGAACGCCGAAATTCACTGCGGCAGGGTCGAGAGCACACCAGCGCGCAGACGAGCGACGGCGTGGCCTCCTCCTGCTCCTCCTCCTCCGCATGCCCGGATTTGGAGGCTCATTTTCGGGGCGGTAGGTTCCAGAGAGCCGCCTGGTTTTGCTGGGTCCCAGCCCACAAGAGCCCCGAGGCGGCCCTCTCCCTTGGGATCTCTCTCAGGTGGTGGGTGGGGAACATGTGGGCCGACTGGTTCGCCAAGCTCGGGGCGTCAGCGCATGCCGTGTCGTCTGTCCACGCGGAGTACCTCTCGTCGGTGCTCCAGCGTGCCAAAGCGATCCTGAAGTTGTCTCTTGGGCGGCAAGCCGAGCGGTCGATCTCGACCTCTGGCACGATCCGCCCGGGGCCGTTCCCCGGCGTCCCCGTGCAGTCGGGCCGCGTGTTCTCAAGCTAGTGTCGCACGACCTTGTTCGCGTCGAGCCGGCGATGGAGGCTCGATGCCGCAGATGTTTGTGTTGCCCGCACTGACGGGCACCTCGCCCATCTTTTGAATGGCGAATGCAAGCTGCTGCCCACCCAGGCGTGGGCTGCGCGGTGTTTTTTCTCGAAGCCCGGTCTGATGGTCCACGATTTCAGGGGTCCTGTTACGGGTCCGTGCGTGTCCGAGGCCCTGGCGGCGGCTGAGGAGGTCCTGGGGTCCGTGCCTGCGCCGCCAGGGGAGCCACCAGACGGGCTCGAGGCTTTCAGGGAGCCAGAACACGTTTTAGTCACCCACGGGGCCACGACGGCGGGCGGTGGCGGCGGCTCCCGTAGGGCGTCGTCAGCACGACGTGCCCGAACTGCCGGGAGGGCAGCAGGTCGCTGGCGATCTGCTCGATGCCTGGCAGGCGGGAGGGAGGGAGGGAGGGGAGGGGAGGGAGATAGGAGGCAACTACTGGGAGGTTTTCGTCGGAAAGATTAAGGGGGACTAGGCCCCATTTGGGAGCTGTTACGCCTGAGTGGGCCTCGGATTAAGCGGGATTAAGCCGGATTAAGCGGGATTAAGCGGGAGTAAGCGGGATTACGCAGGACTGAGCAGGATTAAGCCGGATGTCGGACCAGGGCAAAATCAGAATTTGACCTCCCAGGAGTTGCATCCGAAAGGGAGGAAGGAAGGAGGGGGGAGAGGAGAGGAAGAAGGTCACTCACTCAAGGCTGAAGGCACCTGGGGCGGACCCCAATCCAGCGGCCCTGCGGCAGCAGGCTGGATCACGTTGTCCCCACGACGAAGGTAAGAATCAGGCCTCCGCTTCAGCGATGGGATATCCCGCAGGGAAAGAACGTCCCCCTGTGCGAGTACGAGGACTGAGACGAAAGGAGACTGGGGGCTGCACCGTTCAGCAGCCAGGCAGGCGAGCGCGGCCAGGCAGGCGAGCGCGGTGTCCGACGACGACCACGGCCACGGCAACGGCAAAAACGGCAGCGACGACGACCACGACGACGACGACGACGACCACCACGACGACGACGACGACGACGACGACCACGACCACGACCACGACCACGACCACGACCACGACCGCCACCACGGCCACGACGACGACGACGAAGACGACAATGACGGCGGCGGCGGCCGACGACGACGACGACCACCACGACCACGACCACGACCACGACCACGACCACGACCACGACCACGACCACGACCACGACCACCACCACGGCCTCGACGACGACGACGACGACAACCACGACGACGACGAAGACGACCACAGCCACGACGACGACAACGACGACGACGACGAAGACGACGACGACGACGACGACGACGACGACGACGACGACGACGACGACGACGACGACGACGACGGCGGCGACGACGACGACGACGACGACGGCTGCGACGGCTGGCTGGCGCGCGCGGGGGGCGCGGCGGCCTCCGAGGGCGACGTCGAAGCGCGGCGAGATGACCCCGCACCTGGGTCAGCCCCTCCAACTCCTCCTCCTCCTCCTCCTCCTCCTCCTCCTCCTCCTCCTCCTCCTCCTCCTCCCCCCCTCTCCTCCTCCTCCGCCACCTCCTCCTCCTCCTCCTCCTCCTCCTCCTCCTCCTCCTCCTCCTCCTCCTCCTCCTCCTCCTCCTCCTCCTCCATTCCATCTCCTTATAATAACCTCTCCCTGTCGGACCCAGAAGCCAGTTTTTAGGGCGGGCCAGGTGTTTGGCCTGAGACTTCCTCACCATGTATGACCCTGAAGCTTACACGTTGACAACAGTTTCACACATGAAGGGCGGGTCGTTTTCAAAATGTGGCTCTCTCCTTAGCGCCGCGCACACCCGTTTTCTTTCATTTGCAAGGGCTTCACGCATTGAGGGCGACCCGTTTTCAAAATGTGGCTGTCGCCTAAGCGTCGCGTACACTCGCTTTAGAAATGTGCAAGAGCTTCACGGATTGAGGGCGGTTCCTTTTCAACATGTGGCTCTCGCCATAGCGCCGCGTAAATTCGTGTTTACATGTGCAAGTGTTTCACGGATTCCCATGATCAGCGTACCAGAAATGATGTGTTGGAAGGTTTCAAGGATATGAGGGTGCAACTGTTACGTTGATTCGCGGGCACGATCCAGGATCGTCAAGAAACAACAATCAGATTGATCCGTGGCGTTGGAATCCCAAGAACAATGGTTTGGCATGCTTCAGGGTCTTCAAACGGTTGTCTTCGAACGAGGCAATTCCCTCAGTGGAGCTGAACCGTTATAAGGGGCCTACGAAGAGGGGGCTTGGAGGGAGGGTGTATTCCAACATCGTTGATGAGAGTTTACACTGGTCCTCCTCCTCCTCCTCCTCCTCCTCCAACTCCTCCTCCTCCTCCTCCTCCTCCTCCTCCTCCTCCTCCTCCTCCTCCTCCTCCTCCTCCTCCTCCTCCTCCTACTCCTCACTCCCCAAGGGCCTCTTCCGTTCGGGAGGCCTCCAGCGGCGGGGACCGTCTTGTGGACCGAAAGCATCCAAAGACCTCCTCCTCCCGCTGTGCGTGCACGAAGGGAAAGGGGGAGAAGGGAGAGAGAGGAGGGGAAACGAGAAGGAGGAGGAGGAGGAGGAAAACCCATACTGCTGCCCTTCCCTCGCTTTTACCTTTTGCAGCTTCCTGGAAGGCCCTCATCGCCACCGCTAGATTCGCCTCGAGATCCTGGTCAGAACGGAACCAACCTGGGAGAAGTCAGAGGAGTGGCGGTATCGGTATCTGCTGGCTCCCCCAAGAAAGAGGAGGAGAACGACGACGAAGAGAGGAAGGGCGAGGGGAAGTAGGAGTAGAGCAGGCGACGCTGAGCAGTACAGTGCGGGCGCGGCCGCAAGAAACCCTCGCAGAAACCCAACCCTGAAAACCCGCGCGCGAGGTGCACCTGAGGGGAAGCCCGGAGCACCCTGAACGCAGCCGCTCCTTCCCCGGCTGCGGGAGGCCACCGCGCGGCGCGCGGAGCGAAGAAACCCAGAATACCCTGACGAAAAGCAGATGGTTTCTTGATGAGCGCCCCCACTGTACCGCAGACGATCTGGAACGGCCGAGCCATGCGCTTGTTGATGCGCCTCCTCCTACCTTCGCTTCCCCCCCCCCTGCTCAATCGATCTGGGATGTGGAAGGGAAGGGGGGACCACGGGCGCGAGAACGACGACGATGAAGCCGATGACCACGAGAACGACCACGTCGGCGAAGACGTCGACGCCGACGCCGACGCCGACGCCGACGCCTCCGCCGCCGCCGCCGCCGCCGACGACGACGACATTGACGACGACGAGGCGGTGCTCCTCCCTGCCGCTGGCGATCTGGGCCGGTCGAGCCCTGCGCTTGTTGATGCGCCCGATCAGGTCCACCACGACCTGCCGGACCCCGCGGGGCGGGGCCCGTGTTCTCCCCTCCGGCCCCCGCTCCCCAGAGGGACCAGGCGACACACCAGCGGAATAGTGGAAGGCTGTTCCACCGAACCCTGGGGGGGCTGTGCTGGCTGACGAACCTGTGAAACGCGTGCTGGGGAGAGGAGGGCATCCCAGCGGAGCGAAAGCTGTCTGCAGCTACTTCTGCGTGTAAGAACAAAGGCGCAGTGGAAAAACGCGAAAATTGTAAGCCCATCAGCCTAAGCCTCGTGCTCCGACACCTCCAAGAAGCAGGAGCTGCAGAACGCCTCACTCCAACGCAATGTGGTTTCCGGCACGGGCGCGGCACATCAGATGAAATGCATGCAGTACGTCGACGTATCGAAGCAGCTTTCAAACACGAAACGAATGGGGTGGCGTTTCTGGCACTGTATTGGAAAAAAGCTTTCGACTCGATCATCCATGGGGCCCTCTTCGAAGCTTTAAGGGTATTTAGTGTTCCACAGGGGTGTGTGAATATGATTGGTAATATTTGTGAGGCAAGGCAGTTCTACGTAACAAAGGGCGCACAAGTCCCAACCACGACGCCAATGTTCTGGAATCTTTCAGGGTTGCCCGTTCTCCCCACTCCTATTGGTCATGCTAATGGCAGTGGTTATGGAAGACGCCACCAGCAGATTGGAACATAATACCAAAGACGTACTTTTGGTTGGGGACTAGTCAGAATACTACAGGCAGACGATACGCTACTGGTGGGCCGGTGCCAACACAAGTTACAAAATCTGCTGGACGAGATTGCGGCTGCAGGCGCCAGGGTCAGCATGGCATTGCACTGGGACAAATTCCAGCTTGCGCAAGTCAACTGCGACGTACATCTACTTACCCCTGCGGGGAACAGCATAATTCCCCAAAGTGAAATGATTCATTTGAGCGCCACTCGGAACAGCAACAGGCAACTGGCATCGGCACTCAATCAAGAAGTTGGAGCGGCCCGGGGGACATCTGCAAATGTTCGCGTGCACGGAAACGGACGTCAATTACGGCAAACAGGGAACTGCAACTTTTCCAAGCTCAGACCACGTATGCCTTGAGCTCTGCTTGGTTGAACACGGCTTAAAGACACAGAATGAATGCTTTCCAAGCTCGGCGCCTAAGGAAGATTGTGAGTGTACCACACTTGTACTGGTCGTGGGTGCCAAACCAAACGGTATTTGAAAAAGGCGAAACAAATACCAGTTTACAGCACCCACTTACGACGGCTTCGAATTCTCTGGTTCGGTAAGATTGGGAGAACATGCGACGAAGACGCATTGAGAACAATCGTGCCTGGGTCCAATTAGCAAATAAAAATTTACGCAGGAGACCTGTGAAACCCAGAAACGAATGGGCGAAGTGCCTTCATGATCGAGTTCGTGCCAGCTGCAATACATAAGGGAACCTTATGGAATGTCTAAGCGACGCTTCAAAATAGAAAGATGTTACGTTGCGCTTTCTTTCAGAAACTGTGACGTGATGACAGATCGCTTTCCTGCCGAGAATGAAGGACTTAAGCCAAACACCAATGGCTTCCGGCAGACATGTACAACTGTCTGGAGCGAACTGGGCAAACCGAACTGGCCTGAGCTCAGCACCAATGGTAGTCGGCAAACATGTAAAGCTGTTCACAGCGTATTGAGTGAACTTAACTGGCTTGAGCCAACCACCAATGATATTCGTCAAACATGTAAAACAATCCAGAGCGGATTGGGCAAGCCGAACTGCATTCCTCCTGGTGGCACTGCCCACACTTTGCGTCAAAGTCTGTATTAGACGTGCGGGTTCGACAAAATGGAAGACAATTCAATGAAGATTCACACCGTATGGATGACGCTGTTGCCCATGCGGCCTTCCAGAGGTACGTGTACACAGCACGCCTCTTTAAGACGTGTGATGCCGCCCTGCCCGCTCTTTCCCGCTCTTCCCTCTTGTTCCAGCCGCACACGCTGCAAATCAAGAGTCGGATGGCGCGCCGCTGCTCCTGCAAAGCGGAGCGTAGAGGCTGGCACCGTCTCCCTCCTCCTCCTCCTCCTCCTCCTCCTCCTCCTTCTCCCCCTCCTCCTCCTCCTCCTCCTCCTCCTCCTCCTCCTCCTCCTCCTCCTCCTCCTCCTCATGTTCGCCCACGCGCTCCGGCGTATGGCTCGGCTGACGGACTCCCTCGCTCCCCGCGTCCTGCTTCGCGCCACACCACGGCGAGGCGACCACGGGCACTGGCCTGCAGCCTGGCCCAGCTCGAAACGACAAACAAATGTGTCCCGACCGCTCCCGTGACTCCGTCGGCGAGCTCAGCGGGGCCCAACAGTCCGCAAGTTGGCGGGATGAGCCCCCCATTGTGCCCTCCTCCTCCTCCTCCTCCTCCTCCTCCTCCTCCTCCTCCTCCCCCGCATGTTCGTTGCTGCCCTTCCGGTTGGGGGGCCTCGGCCAGGTCCCGTTCCGCGGCTGGACCGCGACGGTCAGGGCCGCGGGGCGAGCCAGGCGTGCGCACATTGCGACCAGGCGCGCAGGGCGCCACGTGGTCGAAGGAGGCGGCAGGAGATCTTACGGGCGGCCACGCTGTCCAGACGACCTGCGTCCAGGGAGAGCGCGCGCTGGCTCCCGCCACTGGGCAGGTTCCGTCTTCGCCGGCCGCGGAAGTCTGCATCGAGGCACAGGAACAGCCGCGACGTCTTCCTGGTGGTGTGGACCGTCTTCATCACCATTGTCATTATCGGTACCAGCCAGCATCGCCACTCATCGTCGTCACTGTCGGCGTTCCCGCCATCACTACTCATTTGTATTACGTTTATTATCACCACCATCATCATCCTAGTAAACACCATCACCACCGCGATCAACATCGCCATCATCTCCACCACTATCAAAGTAAACATAAACCACAACCATCAGAAATATCATCATCAGCAGCAGCATCATCATCAGCAGCATCAACATCATCAATCTTCAGCAGCAGCATCAGCATCAGCATCAGCATCATCATCAGCATAAGCAGCATCAGCATCATCATCACTGTCAACACCATCATCATCATCATCATCATCATCATCATCATCATCATCATCAGCATCAGCATCATCATCATCATCATCATCATCATCATCATCATCATCCTGGTCGTCAGCACCATCAGCAGCAGCATCACCACCACCACTATATGTATAATCGCCATCATCAACACCACACTTGCCATCGCCCTCATCATCAGCATCATCATATCAGCAACATAATAATCATCTCCATCAACAGCATCGTCATCATCAGCAGCATCACCATCGTCATCAGCATCAACAGCATCATCGTTATCACCTTCACCATCATCATTATCATCATTACCATACTCACCAACATTAGTATAATCATCCTCATCCTCACCAACAACATCATCACCATCATCAGCAGCAGCAACTTCCTCATCACCATCATCACAAGCATCCACAGCAGCATCAGCATCGCCATCATCATCATCCTCATCAGCAGCAGCAGCAGTAGCAGTGCCACCATCAGCATCACCATCAGCATCACCATCAGTAGCATCATCATCAGCATCATCATCAGCATCAGCATCATCATCAGCATCAGCTTCATCAAAACCAGCAGCAGCATCCTCATCATCATCGGCATCATCATCGTCACCACCATCATCACCACCACCCTCATCAACAACAGCAGCATCAGCATCGTCATCCACGTCATCATCTTCGCCCTCGCTTGCCGACCGCTGCCCCTCTCATGACGGCAGGCTGCACCCGGCGCGCAGGCGGGCGGCACCTCTTTCGGCGCCGCGCTCCCTCGGCGAGACTCGGCCCGCCGAGGGGGGGGGGGGCTGCCTGCAGCAGCTGCTGCTGCCCACATGTCTGTCTTCCTGTTCCTGCTATCCCTCCGCCTCTCGTGCGCGTTTCTTATTCGGCGTTTCGACATTGAGCAAAGAGGGGGGGAGGGGGGGGTCTAGCTGGACCTGAGCTGAATGCGAATGTTTGCAACAGCGCCTCATATGGGGGAAAAAACTCTACCTGCTCGAAACACGCGCCAAAAAAGAGCCAAGATCTACTCAATGCGGGGGGGGGGGCATGGGGGGGTGCGAGGGCCCGCGCCAGTCGGCAAAACAATGAATAAAAAAGATCACCTTCTCGCAGGCAAATAAAAACTAGTTACATCAACTTTCGGAGGCTCGCGCGGATGTCTCGAAACGGGGGCCCCAGCGCCGCTCCAAGAAATATCCGCGCGGATCTCCGAAAGCGTATGTTTATGTAGTCGTGTGTGTGTGTGTGTCGTTCTGCATTGTCATCCCCGTCCTTCCTCTCCACCTTGGGCCACGCGCTGGTCAGAAAGGCTCAAGGGAAAAGCTGCGCGAATCCGCGCGTAGAATTGATCCTGCGCCATCGTCGCCCTTTATCTTCCTCCTTTTCCTCCTCTTCCTCTCCTCCTCCTCCTCCTTCCCCTCCTCCTCCTCCTCCTCCTCCTCCTCCTCCGCCTCCTCCTCCGCCTCCTCCTCCTCCTCCTCCTCCTCCTCCTCCTCCTCCTCCTCCTCCTTATCGAGGCTGTCGTTCTCTTCTGCGCCTGGGTGTTTGGAGGAGTCGGCAGCTCCCTGTGCTCCTCCTCCGACCCCTGCGCGCATCACCGCTGGAGCGCGGCGTCGCTCTCGGCCTGCTCGAGTCGAGTCGAATCGAACCTCCAGCTCGCTTCCTTGCCGCACAACCGCTCCCTCCTCTGCGCCTGACTCGGCGCCCCGCCCGCGGGCCCCACCTTGCCAGCACGGTGGTCGTCGATGATCTGGGGGGCGGCGGGGGCGGTCCACGAAAGTGAGCAGTCCAGGAGGAGAGGGCTGAGCGAGAAGGGGCACGCAGCAGGAGGACACGCGTGTTTTGGCGTGCGCATTGAGTGCTGGGGGTCTCGGCACCCTGGGCGGGCGCGAGCCGCATGCGCCCGCGGGAGGGTGGGCCCGCGGCCTCGGTGCGCACCCTTCTCCTTGCCTCGCCCGTCGCTGCCGACTGCCGCGAGTCGCAGCTCCCATCGGGCGGCGGCAGCGTCAGTGTCGCTGCTGCTCGCCTTGAGCTCAGAGCTCGAGGAGCAGCCTGATGGACGGCGGAGAGCGGAGGAGGAGACGCAGGAGAGAAGGGGGAGGACGAGGGCGAGAGGGGGGAGGGGGCGGACCCCTCGACGGGGTGCTCGCTGTGCCGCACGGCCCGCGCGGCAGCAGCCCCGCGCTGGCACCCATCACGCAGCACCCATCACGGCCATGCCGGGAGAGTCGGCGGCGCGCCCACAGTGTTTGTGGATGCCATGGAACTATAGATGTGTTTTCAGTCGATAATATATGTTCTAAAAATGTTTCGAACAGGTTTTCAACATGTTTAACATATATTTGACACATCTTCTAGACATCTGGAAATGATTTGGCAGCCTGCTTCCTCTCCATTCATCGACTTCCACAACACAATGTGGTAACTTAAAGTCGAGTTTTGAGCTATCGTGGGAGATTTGAACACTCGTGTTCAGGATTGGTATCTCCCTCATTTAAAAATGATGTATGTGGCGTTTGCCCGTCTTAGTTTCAGGTCCGCAGCTACAACATTACTATCTGAGTCTAAACACTTGGCGGAACCAAAGCCCTGTCAATGGGGGGGGAGTCAGAGGGAGCGGGCCTTCTCAGACGGCTCGGAAGTCCTCCAGCCTTCTGGGGAGGTCCCTCGAACCCTTCCCCAAAGGCGCCACAAACCTCTCAGAGGGCGCGAGGGCTTCCGAGAAGCCCCGCCACCCTCTGCGAAGGCCTCCTCCCTCTCACCTGCCCCCCTCGCTCGCCGCCGAAGATGGGCTGAGGAGGCCCCCCAGAAACCAGCAAGAGGAGCCCAAGCTTAAAACGTCGATCTACTATTTTTTGATCCCAAGGCGGAGGAGGAGGGCAGGAGGGAGGAGGGCATGCGGGAGGAGGGCAGGCCAAAGGAGGCCAGTGGTTTCCCTTCTCCTCCCGCAAGCGCCGGCACGGTCTGTCGAACGACCACGCGCCGCCGACTCTGAGCCCACCTGGCGACACGACGAACCAGTAGGCGAAGGTACCATGAGCCTCGCCAGGCGCCCCAGCGCCTCGCTCCTCCTCCTCCTCCTCCTCCTCCTCCTCCTCCTCCTCCGCCTCCTCCTGACCATCTTATGATTACTCTGATTTCCTCATTGACCATTTATTATTAGTGTCATTCGTCTTAGTATTGCTATTCCTCCTAGTATTAGTACTATTGTTGCTCATATGGGTATGTTGCTTACGTTTCTTCTTCTTAATAATGTTACTAATAGTATTCGTATTGTTGATCGTGCTAGTTACTCTTAGTGCCCATAGTGCTACTAGTATTACTCATAGTCTTCGTAATACGATTCATGCTCGTATGAAGAAAATTATTATTAGCATGATTAACGGTTTTAGTGTTATTCGCATTCGTACTCTCAAACGCTTAATAGTAGTACCACTGTTTGTTAGTATGACTTGTAGCCGCAGTAATAGTTTGATGATCAGTAACATGATTCGTACGATTAGTACGCTTCTTCGTTGTACACATATTACTCACCGTAGTACGCTGTTTATGTTGCTTAGTATGGTTAACAGTATTGCTGTAGTGTGTCTTACTCGTTGTATGAATATTATACTTATCAGTTGCAGTCGTATTAGCATTGCTAATTGTGGTCGCTTTCTTCTTCGTCGTATTATGCTTATTCGAATTAGCAATATCAGTGTGAACATTATTACTGCGAATCGGATTCTTCTGATTAATATGAATGATGTTGGTATGATTCCTCATTCTCCTCCTCCTCCGCCTCCTCCTCCTTCTCCCAGCCATGCCTTCCGCGCGGCAGGTGCTGCTCGAGGGGCCGCTGAGATGAGAAATGGAGAGCGGAAGCGGGTCTGGGCGTCCCTCGACAGCCCTGCCTCGCTCCAGAGCTCTGGTCAGGACAGCGGCGCTCTCCGTGTGGGCCGCGAGAGGACGGCGTGCGCGCGACGTCCTCCCGCATGCTCGGCTTGTGATCATCGGATGCCGACGGGTCCGTCGGGTGAGCAGGCGGAGGAGGAGGAGGGCAAGGAGGAAGAGGACGAGGAGGAGGAGGAGGAGGAGGAGGAGGATGTGGGCGGGAGCCCAGGAGCAGAGGGGGCGGGCGGACGAAGAGCGAGAGAGGCAAGATGTGGCCGACGAGCGGCGCCTCGAGGTCGCCGATGTAGCCCTTCTTCTGCATCACCTGGAGGAACTTGATGATCACCTGGCTGGCGCCGAGGGACGCTAGGAGTAGACCGGGGAGCATCGAGCTTCGAGGGCGGATGCTTGGGCGCGTCTGGGCTTTTCTGGGCCTCGGACTTCGGTGGACCTCTGGAGGGCCACGGAAACGGCCCTCAGACGCCGAGAATTGTGAAAGCCTCCAGCTATGCGGGGACCCCGCGACAGCGCTACAAAGAGTATATGCCACCACCGCCTCTAACCCCGACTCCAACCTGTACTAGGGTGGCGGTGGTGGTGGTGGTGGTGGCCATTATGAGTCTCAAAGGTGGGAATGTGAAAAAAATGGGGAGGATGATGGAAGGAGATCGGAGGCGCCCTTGTCCTGCCACTCCTCCTCCTCCTCCTCCTCCTCCTCCTCCTCCTCCTCCTCCTCGTCCTCCTCCTCGTCCTCCTCCTCGTCCTCCTCCTCCTCCTCCTCCTCCACCTCCTCCTCCTCCTCCTCCTCCTCCTCCTCCTCCTCCTCCTCCTCCTCCTCCTCCTCCTCCCCCTCATTCTCCGCCTCCTTCTCCTCCTCCCCCTGCCCTCCTTCTCCTCCTCCTCCTCCTCCTCCTCCTCGAGAACGGGGGATTGTGGAGTCCCTGTGGTTCCAAAGCGCGCGCGCGAGGCTTTCGCGCTGAGTTCGCGACTGTTTCTGTGCAAACTCTGCTCTGTGTCGTCCTCCTCCTCCTCCTCCTCCTCCTCCTCCGCCTCCTCCTCCTCCTCCTCCTCCTCCTCCTCCTCCCCTGCTCTGCCTTTTTTTTTTCTCCTGGCGCCCCCCCCCAGATTTGTTTTTTTGTTTTTCTCTGGGGGGGGGCGCCAGGAGGAAAAAAAAAAAAAGGAATGCGACGTGGCCACATCTGCCCTCCCCCCCTAGAAGGATTCCTAGTGAACGCCCCCATAAGAAGGGTTTACAGTGAAATCCTCGACAGAAGGGTTCCTATCGAAACCCTCCAGAATGATTCCTACTGAAATCCTCCACATGTGGATTCCTACTGAAACCCTCCACTGAATGATTCCTGCTGAAATCCTCGAATGGCGATGGCAATGGCACTGGCAATGGCAATGGTAATGGTAATGACAGTGGTAATGGTAATGGTACTGGCAATGGTTACTGGTTACGGTAATGATAGTGGTAACGGGGTAGCGAGGCAATGACAATGGCAATGGCAACGGTAATGGTAATGGTAATGGCAATGGCAGTGGCAATGGCAATGGCAATGGGAATGGCAATGACAATGGCAATGGCAATGGTAATGGCCATGGCAATGGTAATGGTAAGGGTAAAGGTAAAGGTAGAGGGAAAGATAATGGTAATGGCAATGGCAGTGGTAATGGTAATGGAAATGGTAATGGTAATGAGAGTGGGAATGGGAACGGGAACGGGAATGGAAATGATAGTGGTAGTGGTAATGGTAATGGCACTGGTAATGTTAATGGTAATGGTAATGGTAATGGTATTGGGAATGGGAATACGAATGGGAATTCTAATGGTAATGGCAGCGGTAATGGTAATGGGAATGGGAATGGGAATGGGAATGGGAATGGAAATGTTACTGGCAATGGTAATGGTAGTGGCGAATGGCAATGGCAATGGCAATGGTAATGGTAATGAAAAATGTTAATGACAGGGATCATGGTACTGGTACTGGTAATGGTCATGGTAACGGTAATGGTAATGGTAACGGGGTAGCGATTGGCAATGGCAATGACAATGACAATGGCAACGGTAATGGTAATGGCAATGGCATTGGGATTGGCAATGGCAATGGCAATGACAATGATAATGGCCATGGCAATGGCAACGGCAATGGTAAGTGTAATGGGAATGGCAATGGTAGTGGGAATGGGAACGGGAATGAGAATGGGAATGGAAACGGGAACGGGAATGGAAATGGTAGTGGTAGTGGTAACGGAAATGGGAATGATA